ATCTTACCAGTCTGCGTGACACAAAATCATCCAGCACATGTATCCGACAGCCATGTTCGCAGACTCACGAACATATGTTGGGACCCGATCAACTCTCCGTCGATTGGATGTTCCGCGTTTTCTCTGAAGGAATGATTGCATTAGATTTTTTTTCCAATAATAATACAAGGCTGTCATTTTGTGGTGAGCAGGCATCGGTATACGGAGAAATAAATGCACGTACAGAAAGACTACCCATTCGAGATATACCCACAGTCGAACGGGATGCATGCCAATATCATGCTCGGATGTGTATGCACGAAGAGACCGGACCGACCTACATAAAGCGCGCTGGTGTCTGAATCTACATGTAGGCCCAGGCACAGAGCACAGAAACTGCGCAAAGCGTGGCACGAAAAAAAAGGCGACAAAGACCCCAGATGCATGTCTGCACGTGGGTCGATGCGGCGTGTGTGTGCGTGCGAAGGATGATGGTGATCGCCGTCTACATGCTGAATGTTGAATGACGCTCGACAGCGACGGCCACGGTCGATTTCTCCCTCACACTAGCTTGGTTGTTTATTAGTAGGTCCTTGTAGGAGGTGCCTCAAAATGAGGGCAAGTCCAAGAACAAAATGGTAAAGTATCCAGCAGATTTTCTCAACACTCACTCACTGTAATGACTTCAGAGCACGGCTTCGGTTGGGGCGCTATCTGGAACAATTAATTAATCCTGGAACGGATACAACAGCCGTGTGCCTGCTCGTGGTGAACAGTCGTCACACACAAAAAAAAAAAGAGTTGCTGTGTCGATTATTTCAAGGATTATTTCATGCGTGTTTTTTTTTATTTTTCTTAATATGACACAACGAGTCCATCTCTATCATAGAAAAGAGTCAGAGACAATGGAATCATACTGTAGTAGCGTCAGAGAAAACTACCTGTGTGTCAACGATTTCCCAGACAGCATATAGGGACATCTCCCCTGTGGGTAACAGGCTCAACAAATCAGTTTGGTAGCTGTCTTGTGTGTCTCATATATGTTATGTTGTGGAATTTCATGTCGTTAAATGTGAGAAGGGCACGGGAGAACATTTCTCATCATTGCCTCCTGATGACGTGGTCGCCGATAGAGGCGTGTGGTTGATGAGGTTTCATAACCGACATGTGGGTTTGTGTTAAATGCAGTGGGTGTGTTCACCTCTCTCGTCAGTGTGTAGGCAGGAGGTATGGCTACCTCTCCCATTTGTAGGCAGCGTGGACCATACTTGTAAATATAGACAGAGTTCATCATTTCATGCATGTTACATCATTTGTGTTTGACAAGGGAGGAATGAGGAATGAGAAGTTGTGCGTATGGGTACGGGGGTACTCCCTGTGTCCGTGTTGTTCCCAGATGTTGCCGCATCAAGTGGCAGCATGTGTCATGGACAGGTAGACGTGGAAGGACGGCGACAGGTGAACGGCAGCAGTAGTATGTTGTGCATGGTGGCATGTTGGGCTTGTGCAGAGGCGCAGTCCATCTTCGACCACACACAAAAAAGTTTGCTCGTACCTGTGGGGACTTTTCGAAGTCCTGGGTCAGCCAAGAGCAGCAGCAAGGAGCAAACGCTGTGCAGTATACTCTACAGCTTTACAGCAGTAGTACTCCGTCCACCTCAAGTGTTTTTCGTTCGTTTTTCATCAAAAAATATTTTCATCATGTATGTAACGGTTTCACTTGGCTTCATCGGCCCACACCCGCCCGCGGGTAGTGTAACTTCAGTGTTGTGAAAACGCACGGATCACATGCGCATTTATCCAATAAAAACCGCAGGAGGGGCCCTATTTACAACAACAACACTCACGCAGTTGGCGTGTGCATGCAACCCAGAGGACAAAAACGAACACCCTGCCCTGTCTGACTGACTCCGGCAACGACACGCGGCCCAAAACCCATCCCTCATCTCTGACGACCTTGTTCTAGATCCGCGGGCGGGCGTGATAGTAAGTAGTGCTTCGCGCAGGCATTCGTGAACACACAAGCGGACGGTGTCATGCAGTCAGAGTGTGCGATGTGTGTGTATGTTGTCCACGGTGCTGTCTGTCCACTGAATGAAGTGCATTCTTGCACGAGAGCGGACGGCAGTCCCTCAAATTGCGACCCCCCCCCCCCCCCCCCCCCCCCCCCCCCCCCCCCCCCCCCCCCCCCCCCCCCCCCCCCCCCCCCCCCCCCCCCCCC